CTGTGTAAGAACTAAAAGAAATCTTTCCTGTTAAAATGTTGGGCATAGCTGTAAAACTTACCTGGGCTATTTATATTATGCGGTAATTAGTATCTGTATGGTTTTTTTTAATGCCAGGGATTGCACTGCTTTTAATCGCCCAAAATAATGAAGAGGCAGAATTTGAACTCAGGCAGATCTGCCTCCTAAATGCTAGTCCATTCCACTGCAGCACACCACCTCCCACAACTAGGATGGGAAAAGGCTTTTATGATCGTGAAAAGCCTGGGAGGAATGCATGAACTGATCAATTTAAGAGGGTTTGGTGCATACAACTCCTACACAGTGTTGTGAAACTGTCCCAAATATTTAGGAGGAACTGGGCGTTTAGAGACACCAGAATTATGCTTTCAAACTATGCCAACAACATGTCATTTTACAAACAAATGCTCAAAACTAAATTGTACTTTTGCTCTCCAAAAACCCTACTTGATAGCCTGGGTGTTTTTTATCATCTTTATTAGCTGGGGTTATGAAAGTTAAATGGGTGATGTTGCTAAAAACGCTTTTCACTAACACTTCCCCTTGTGGGGGTGGGAGTGGGGTTGTTGCATGATTTGGCCAGGTTTTGTTCATCACAAATTAGGTCAACAGCCCAATCTCAAAAAGAAAGCACCATTAATGACATGTTTCAAGGGCTTTCCAAAAGCAGTCAGCCGGGCTTTGGCAAGCCTCAGCAAGGGCGGACAGAGGTAAGGAGTAGCCAGTTACACACCCCTTAATGGCCTTCTGAACTTGGGTTTGTATCTCACAAGGGTTCCAACTGCCTGTACAAACAAAACTGATTTTGCTCTTAACTGCTGTCAGTGGGATAGAAAGGCACACAACACTGGGAAGCTCAGAAAAAAAGAGGCTAAATGCTGAAACAAAAATCTTATAAGGGGTTACAATAACAAGAAATCATCTTGAGTTTTTTATCTTCTCAGTGATGATGCAGCCACAGGAAGGTTGAGAATGAGGAGAAAAAATATCAAACCACCTTAGAAAATAGAATGTTTATTTAACATTTTTTTTTATTTTTGTAGATTTCAGGGGTACAACTGCAGTTTTGTTACATGGATAAACCGCGCGTAGTGGCAGAGTCTGTAGCTATCACCCAAATAGTGTTCGTTGTACCCATTAGTAATTTTTCATCCCACACCCCCCACCTCCCACTCTTCCACCCTTCGAAGTCTCCAATGTCTGTTTTTCCACTCTCTATGGACACATTATTTAACTCCCATTTGTGAGAACAGGTGGTATTTAACTTTCTGTTCCTGAGTTACTTAATGGCCTCCAGTTCCATCCATGTTGCTGCAAAAGGCACGATTTCATTCTTTCTTATAGCCGAGTAGTATTCAATGGTATATATATGAGACACTTCCTTTTTTACTTTTTAGAGATGGGTCTCGCTCTGTCACCCAGGCTGGGTGCAGTGGCACAATCATAACTCACTGCAACCTCAAACTCCTGGGCTCAAGTGATCCTCCTACATCAGCTTCCCTAATAGCTGAGACTACAGGTTCGTGCACAGCAACCGGCTAATTTTTAAAAAACTATTCTTTGTAGAAACAGGGTCTCTCCATGTTGCCCAGGCTAGTCTCGAACTCCTGTAGCCTCAAGAGATCCTCCCATCTTGGCCTCCCAAAGTGCTGGGATTACAGACATGATCCAAAGCACCTGGCAGCATTGTCATTTTAGTTTGCAGTTCTGTGACCAGTGACATTATTTTTTTCATATCCTTGTTGGCCATTTGTGTATGCCTTCTTCTGAAAAATGCCTGTTTATGTCCTTTGCCCACTTTTTTTTTTTTCTTTGCCCACTTTATAATGGGTTTCTTTGGGGGTTTTATTGTCATTGTTGTTTGAGCTCCTTGTACAATGTGGATATTAGTCCTTTGTTGGATGTAAGGTTTGCAAACATTTTTTCCCATTCTGTATGTTGTTTGTTCATTCTACTGATTGTATCTTTTGCTGTACAGAACTGTTTGTTTATTAAGCCCCATTTGTCTATTTTTGTTTTTGTTGCATTTGCTTTTGAGGTCTTAATCATGACTTCTTTGCCTAGGCCAATGTCCAGACATTTTTCCTAGGTTCCTCTAGAATTTTTAGTCTCAGGTTTTACATATGTCTTCAATCCATCTTAATTTTTACATATGGTAAAGTCCAGTTTCATTCTTCTGTATATGGCTAATTTTCCCAGCACCCTTTATTGGATAAGATGTCCTTTCCCCACTGTTATGTTTTTGTCAAAGTTGGCTGTAGGTATGCAGCTTTTTGTGTTTTCTATTATTTTGTCACATTCATGTGTCTATTTTTACACCAGTACCATGCTGTTTTTGTTACTGTAGCTTTATAGCATGATTTGAAGTAAGGTAATGTGATGCCTCCAGCTTAGTTTATTTTGGATAGAGTTGCTTTGGCTAGTTGGGCTTTGTCAGCTCCATATGAATTTTAGGAGTTTTTTCTATTACTGTGAAAAATAACATTGGTATTTTGATAGGAATTGCATTAATGTTTATTTCCTATTGTGTTCAAAAAATAGTCCAATAGCTTGATACTAAAGCCAAGATACAATGTAGCAATTAAAGAATACTTTGTAAAATGTTTTAACACTGATGTTCAGGGCTGGGCATGGCTCACGCCTGTAATCTTAGCACTCTGGGAGGCCAAGACAGGCGGATTGCTTGAGGTCAGGAGTTCAAAACCAGCCCGAGCAAGAGCAAGACCTCGTCTCTACTATAAATAGAAATTAATTGGCAAACTAATATAGAAAAATTAGCCAGGCATGGTGGCACATGCCTGTAGTCCCAGCTACTCGGGAGACTGAGGCAGTAGGATTGCTTGAGCCCAGGAGTTTGAGGTTGCTGTGAGCTAGGCTGATGCCACGGCACTCACTCTAGCCTGGGCAACAAATGAGACTCTGTCCCAAAAAAACAAAAACAAAAAAGACACTGATGTTCAATCTTTTAATGTTACCTTTTAAAGATTACTGCAACAAGCAAAGTGTGATTTTTACTTTGATAATTGCCTCATGAAATTAGAAGTGCCCTACCCTTACTAACCTACAAAAATAAAATGATAGTGATAGGCAAAGATATATAATTTATTGAAGTTTTAAATGAGATTTAAAAGTGCTTGGAAGCTAAAAATTTGGGTGCATTAATAAGTCACTAGTAATTTAGACATGAACATTTGTGAAAGAGGGAGAAGTTGGTGGCTATATTTTTATCGTGACTTTTACAAGTCAAGCTGGTTATGAAGTCATATTCAGAGAAATTTTTTAATCTTACCAACAGATAAGTTAAATAAAAACATCCAAATGTCTTTATGATTCTAACATTTCCAAGGAAACTTATCACATTAAGAATTTTATCTAAAATATGAAAAAATTTTTGGAAATCAGCTATCTCCTATCCATTACCTCACTATTGAGTCATGCCTTTAACAAATCCAGACCTTACACTTTTTATCAATCTATCTTTTACTAGCCCCTCTGAAGCCATTAAGCTTCCCCAGCTTAAAAACAAAAACCTAGAGTGTTGAGGTTTACTTCTAAACATTATCTTCACTCAAGCTAAAGACTCAAGTTGGGGGAAGGAAGAGAGGAACAAGTAGGCAGGAAAGGGAGGGCATTCTGTTGAGCCAGTCTTGTTAATTCTCTTCCCCCTCTCCTTTACGAGAGCCTTTGTGCAGGAAAAGCTGAGAAATTGATCCAGGGTTCCAAACAAAATGTTCTATGCTTCCGAGGACATGTAACACGGAGGTTTCATATTCCATTTTAGGAACTTGGCTGTAGAAGGGCTTCAAATAGGCATTTGCCAGTCTTTTCTAGCTCTGGCCCCAAACAAGAAAAGCATTAAACATTGTTTCATGGTTTTGTAGAGAACTTTAAAACCCAAATGTTAGCTGCAAAAGGGAATTTATGTGCACGTTGATGAAATGGGGAAAGAAAATTCTTGTAGCCAGGAAGGTAAATGGAATTTTCTAGCATTACTAACTTGAAAAAATGTTTTACTTTACTGAATACAGTAGCCCTTTAGGGTCATAAATCACTTTATACCCACACCCCACTTCTACCACCAATAGCTTTTTATCTTCTATGGGAAAAAAAGGCAGATAAACCTGTCAGATTTCAGCAGTGGAGGCTTGGCTCATTACTTTTCCAGTAACCAAATGAGGAGAAACAGTAGCACTATATTTTAAAGACACACTTCATTTTTCTAAGACTTACCCAGTGCTATGGTTAACACTTTGCAGTTTCTACTGAGAATCCATTCCCAGTTCTGGTGACAGCATAGATATTCCTTAGAGTAGTGGTTATCAATCTGCACTGCACAGGAGCATTTGGGAGTTACATTAAAAAAAAAAAAGACGACACAATACTTGAACACTCACCCCTCAAAAACTAAAGAGATAGAACTTGGCATCCAATGGGTAAAAACCAAAAAAAAAAGAAAAAAAAAAATTTAAAAAAAAAAAAAAAAAAAAAAAAAAAAAAAACTAAACAGAATTTCTGAGTAAAATTTCCCAGGCAATGCCAATGTGCAGCCAGGATTTACTTGGAACCTTTTTAATCTTGAAGTCTGGGAGGAACAAATTCTACTTGTAGCCCTAGGACCCATGACTAAATTTAAAACTTTTAGCCCATCTTCTTGGCCAGGGAGACTTAAGGGGACTTTGGCTGGGGGCTTCTGGGAAATTGTATTCATTCTTCTGTGAAAACTTCTGAAACTTTTTCTGGCTGAAGAGAATATAAAGTGTAGCTGTGCCAACAGCCATTATTACCAAGGAACACAGCATACACCAAAACCAGGACTCAGAATCAAGCAGGAAAAGTCATCACCTTTGCATCTTTGATGGCATAGCAAACTTTACATCAAATGAATGAAACCAGGACTACCTGTGGCCACATCAGTGTGGTTTGGTTACCCTTCACATGCAACATCAAGAGCCCCAAATTAGAAAGCAACATCATAGTGATGGTGAAGTAAAGAAAAGGGTGGACTTTAATCTTTATTTACAGGACACTGCAAGATATGAAATTTCACATAGAAATAAGAACCCCCTCAGAGGACAGGCTTCATACAGTATGTACAGTTTGGAACTGTTCAAGTATAGTTTCATCGTAAAAAGTGCTACAATAACCACATTTAAAAAGAGTTCTTAGTAGAGAAATAGTAAGACAAACTTATACCAAACAGTACACGACAGTTTTATGCCTCAACTGTACAATCTAAAAGTTAAAGGTCCCAGGATTCCCATCCTGAACTTGGAAGGTATAGCCTTCAGAGGTAGTTTCTGGCACTACATTTTGATCTTCCTCTTCCTGGAAATAAAACAAAAAACAATAATATAATTCCATAAATGTGGCACATTTCTAAGTAATAGGCTGCCTGGAAGTCTGTATTTACTCTTAAGGTCTTCATCTGCATATTTTACCTGTTACCCTGTACCACATTTTAACATTTGACAAAGGGGAAGGAGGGCTGCTAAAACTTTGCCAAATAATTAGTGTCTGCTTGGGAGAGGGAGGGTCTGAATAGTTTATGGCATACTACACTAACAAAAAACTAAGTTGAGGCTGGGATAGGTGACTCATACCTATAAACCTAGCACTTTGGGAGGCCAAGGCAGGAGGATCACTTGAGGCCAGGAGTTTGAAACCAGCCTAAGCAATACAGGGAAACCTCAACTTTACGAAAAATAGAAAAATTAGCCAGGTGTGGTAGCACGCGCCCATAGTCCCACAGCTATTCAAGAGGCTAAACTGGGAAGATCACTTAAGCCCAGGAGTTTGTGGTTACAGTGAGCTATGATGATGCCACTGCACTCTAGCATGGGCAACAGAGTGAGACCCTGTCTCAGGAAAAAAAAAAAAAAGCTTATGGACTTGACCTTACATGTGTATTTTCCAGGTTAATATTACCATCCATTACTCACCTCTACAGAGAAATACTTTCATCAGAGTTTAAGAAGCGCTTGGTAAACAAGACATGTTCATGTTTGTAAAGCTTCCAATTTTTGCCAGAGCCGCCAAATTCTGCATCTTATAACTAAGCGTGTCAGTTTCACCGAAGTTTTCAGCGCCTAAAAAAATACGCAGTAAGTTTAACGAGATTAGATACGGAAGGAAAAATTGGCCACATATTGGCAAATTATTTACATGCAGTAATAGAAATGCCAGCATTCATTTTTAAACTCAATTCTACATGTAAAAGATTTGCCACAATCCGGAAGTTGAGAGTGAGGCTCACTAGGCTACAAACAAGCACCCATATGCGCATGCTGGATTCAATTAGGAGGGAACAGAGAAAAATATAATTAATACTGCCCGGCGGCCACACCGTGTAAATCTAGCCAGCTCTGAGGGCTTAGGGCGGCGTGCTCAAGTCGAGGTGAAAACAGCCTGCAAGGTGAAGACCGGCTTACTAATAAATAGAAGAAAATAATTGCCAAACTAATATATATAGAAAAAATTAGCAGGCATGGCGCATGCTGTAGTTTCCAGCAACTGTGAGCTGAGGCAGAAGGACGCTTGAGCCCAGAGTTTGGGGGCTGGAGCTTAGCGCTGAATGCCATTGCACTCCCACTGTAAGCCCTGGGCAAACAAAGCGAGACTCTGCTCAAAAACGAAAATAAGAAGGCCGGGCGCGTGCTCACGCTGAAATCCTAGCACTCTGGAGGCCGAGACGGTCGGATTGTCAAGCAGGAGTCAAAACCACCCTGAGCGAAGACCCCGTCTCTACCATAAAATAGAAGTTGAATTGGCCAACTAAATATATGTAATATAAAAAGCAAGCGCGGCCATGTGCTCGTGCTGAGCCCAAGCAACGGGGAGCTGAGCAGCAGGATCGCTTGACCCAGGAGTTGAGTTGCTGGAGCAGGCTGACACCCACGCACTTCAACTCTGAGCCTATGCAAGAAAGCGAGACGCTGTCTCAAAGAAAAAAAAAAAAAAAAATAGAAGGATAACGTAACATCAAATAATTCACCAAGATTCAGAGAAAGCAAGAATAAAAGAGGAAGTAACCAAAAATAGAGAAATCCTCCACATAAAGAACTTGACTGCAATCCAGAACCCAGTGACCATAAAAAGAGAAAAGAAAAAAAAAAAAAAAAGACTTGACTTCAATTCAGAACATCAAGCCAGTTGTAAGCTCCTGTTATACTGTATAATCCTTGTCACATTTTGATGGAGTGGATCCCATATATAACCAGAGCTTTCGTTCGGGCTACTAATGAATAAACTTAGCTGCACTCCTCCCTAAATAGTAAACCAATTACTGTATTATTATTAAGGCCCAAACAAACAAGCCCAGCGTTATTAGGACTACTGAAAATATGATGGCATCTAGGAATAAACCAAGAATAATTTTGGTATCTTTCGCAGTTAAGAGGTTCATCAATGGTTCTATTATGCCACAATGAACAAGGTATACAATCTGTTCAACTGTTCCACCACTTGTATAGTTGGTCAACAGCCATAACAGCGCTTTTGTGCTTAAAAGTCTGCCTAATAAACAAGGAAATAATCTTATTCCAGAACAACCATACAAATAAGATTCTAAAAGTGCTGTTTCACAAAAACACACAATGACTAAAAAACTATCAACGGTTGGACCACTTTAATGTAAGGTTACGGAAGCTATTTTAGCAAAGGACTCCAAGTAGAAACCAACCTGCTACATAAGAACTTGACGCCAACACAGCTTGTCTTTAAATACTAAAAATCATCTGATATCTAGGACTTCATTTACCTGTTAGGAGAGAACACCCAACAAGGAATGACTAATTTCCAATTCACACACTTGCTGTATCTGCCTGACGCCAAGCTGTGAGTATTTGACCAGTGTGCCATTGGCTTCTTCGCTGATAGGTTTTGGTGGGTCAGGCAGCTGGAAAACGCAAGGCTCCTGGCAGGCAATTCAGCAACATTGGAGTGGTATCTGCCCAGGACCAATATTCCCTATGCCTTAGCAGGAGGTCTGAAAAAGAAAACAAAGAAGTGAGACTAGTGGTTACCTCCCTTACTGTTTGCCAGTACGCTCAAGAAATTTCGTATCCTCAAGTTGTGACAAGAGCACCATGGCCTGAAATAGGCAATAGTTCATATTAGTGATCAAATGAGAATAATCTGTTACCTTTAGATTCTAAAAGGTATAATTAACAAGTCTACGCCACATTGGCGATTCAGTAGTCCTAAGAGTCACAAGTTGCACAAGAAATACCTGTTCACAAACCTGTCATCTGTTCATTTGACCATTCAGTAAGAGAAAATAGCCAGCCAGGGATTGCTAATACGTCTGCCATCGAGCAGGAGACGCATAAGTAGGAAGTATCGTTCAAACAGCATGCTAACGTGGTGCAGGGATTGCTTGCTTGCGCAAAGTTTGAAAGGTGTCCCAGGTAAGATTTACGTGGAAGTACCACCACACTGAGGAAAAAGAAATAAGCAATGAGAGGTTCTGTCTTTTGAGGAGATAGGTAATTAAATTCATGAGAGTGCAGTAACTGATTTATGTTAATAACTTACTGCTAAAGATGACATATCAGGAACAGCCAGAAGAGCCAACAGGGGGTCAACTGCACCATACTTGATAACCAAGTCTCGGAAAACTGAACCATCACCTGAAAAAAAGGCAAGATTAATCATATCTTCTTGTCTAGCACCATCAATGTTCAGTGACTGAATGCATCAGGAAATATTCTCAAACTTACTCAGATGCCTCTGATGTCTTTTTTAAGATGTTACTTTCATTCCTAATAAGGGCCTGAAGCAGGCTCAAAACACGACACAAAGGTCACTCTTACTTATAACAAAGGCCCTTCTCCCAACCTCATTATGATTAGATACATTCAGTCAAAAAAATTTTAATTCCAAGTACCTGCAATGTTTCCTAGAGCCCATACAGCTTGTTCACTGATGTGAGGATGGGGAGATGCCAACAGAGAAATGAATGCTGGGATAGCACCTCCATCTACCACAGCCTTGGTCTGTTCTGATGTCCCAGAAGCTATGTTAGTGAGCGCCCAAGCAGACTCAAACTGAATGGGACTACAATCAGTTCTGCCCAAGAAGGACACAAATTTTGGAATCAAACCAGCTCGAATTATATTGTCTATGGGGGGCTGTTTTTCTCTAGAAAGTAGTTTCCTAAGGAGGAACAAAAAGAGAAACATAAGTTGAAAATGATTTAAAAAGTTTGTCTGAAAACCAGTTTAAAATGCAATTCAAGAGATTAGAACTCTAGATAACCTTTTAAATGAAGCACTAAATGCTGAGACATCCTGGAACTTAAGAGAAGCCAAACAGATTACTCCAATAGTGGTGCTATGTATATTATACAGGTAACTACCATTTTCCTAAATATCAAAGTATTATCAGTAATGTAGATTACCCTCCTTTCTGCATCCCTGAAGAAATCTACTATAGATCTTTTCACTTTTTTTAAACTTGGACAACCCAAAAGGGTTGTTATACTCATTGTTAACTTTGTTTCCCTGACTGGTAGTGGGGCAAAATGTCTTTTCCATGATCATTTGTCATTTGGATTTGTTCTTCTGCACACTGTCAAGCTATAGAAATTATTAAACCTTTCTATTATGAATGTCACAAATATGTGCATGATGGGAAGTAACGGTGTAAATTTACTTATTTTCTAAATGATCTATTGCCAGGTACAGTGGCTCACACCTGTAATCCCAACAAATTGGGAGGCTGAAGTGGAAGGATCTCCTGAAGCCAGGAGCTCAATACAAGCCTGAGCAAGAGTAAGACCCTATCCATCCATCTCTGTCAGCCAATAAATACATAAATGAAACTATCATTCTCAATGGACACTATCAATCCCACTATTTCCTCCTTTCCCAGCCTGTGGCTTGAAATGTCATTTTGATAAAATTTTTATCAAAATGGCTGGTTTATCCTTTCTTTACTCACACTTTTTCCTGTGGAAAAAGTCTATAAAACCTAATTTCTTAGGTTACCCATGCTATAGCAGACAAGACTTACCTGGCAGCTTGAGTAGCTTGGAGCTGGCTTTCCACATTGTTGCTATTTATGCCTTTGACAATGTCATCAACAGACCAATTTACAGTGCCCTAAAAGAAAAATGAAATATTGCAAATTATCAAGACTAAAGCCTATAATCTATATATTTCCATGGTAGAATGTTGCAAACACAAAAGTATGTGCAGTCTCAGGGGGACGAAGCTAAAAAAAAAAGAAATAAAAAGTATGTTGTGAATCACAGTAGAAAGGTTTGAGAACCAATGCAGCCATTAACATAAAAAGACAGTGTCCCTTTCTCTCTAGGGCTTATAACCTAACAGGAAAAATGAGACAAGCAGACAAATATCACAAAACAAGTGGGAAATATACTTTGTGTTACACAACACTTACTTTCCATTTTGGTGTAGAACCAGGGAACTACAGAATCCTGAGAAAAGAGTGTCTTTCCTGCAAGACTAACCAAGTAGTGCTAAAGATGGGATTTGAGTATTAGTATCCTAGAAATAGAAAACAGGTGCAAAAGTAATTGTGGATTTGGGCCGTGAATTTTAAGTCATCATAACCAGACTCAAACACATCTTTATTAATCAAAATAGCAACCATTAAAAGCAACACATTTTTGTCAACAAGAAATAAGTTTATTCTTGTGGCGTAAAAATCTGTGCTTCAGGATTCAAAAGACGAACTCTTGGAAAGCATTTTCTGTATCCTGCTGGTTGTGGAAGCACTTTCCCTGCAAAAGGTTGTCGATACTTGAAGTGGCAGTCTATCAGTGAAAGTTCAGGTGAATATGGCGGGGTGCATGAAACAAAACTTCGTAGCCCAATTTCTTCAACTTTTTAAGTGTTGGTCGTGTGATGTGCGGTTAGGTATTGTGTTATGAAGAACTGGGCCCTTTCTATTGACTATTGCCGGCTGCAAGTGTTGCAGTTTTCAGTGCACCTCACTGATTTACTGAGCTTACTTCTCAGATGTAATAGTTTCGCTGGGATTCAGAAAGCTGTAGTGGATCAGGCCAGCAGTGAGAAGAACCTGTTTTGGGTGCAAGTTTGGCTTTGGAGCTTCTTCTCGGTTAAACCACTAAGCTGGTTCTCGCCAGTTGTTGCATAAAATCCACTTTTCATCACACGTCACAATCTGATCAAGAAATGGTTCACCGTTGTTGTATACAAGAAGAGACGATGACATGATTTTTTTTGATTTTCAGTCAGCTCATGAGGCACCTACTTACCGAGCTTTTTCACCTTTCCAATTTTCTTCAAATGCCAAACCACACCGTAGAATGGTCAACGTTGAGGTCTTCAGCAACTTCTCGTGTATTTGTAAGAGAATCAGCTTGATGACTGTTCTCAGTTGGTTGTTGCCAACTTCCAATGGCCGGTTACTGGGCTCCTCATGCTCAAGGCTCTCATGTCCTTTGCAAAACTACTTGAACCACCCCTGCACTGAACATTCATTAGTAGTTCCTGGACCAAATGCATTGCTGATGTTGCAAGTTGTCTCCACTGCTTTACAATCCATTTGAACTCAAATAAGAAAATTGCTTGAATTTGCTTTTTGTCTAACATCATTTCCATAGTCTAAAATAAATAAATATAAACAGCAAGTAATGTCATTAGCAAAAAAACACAAAGCGAGAAATGCACATTAAAGTTATGTATAACATAACCACATTTACTTAATGTATTCCAATATCAAAGAGCAAATTTCAACAATGCTAGCTAAAACCACGATTATGGTCTTTGTCCCAATAGAGGCCGCCATATCGGTGCTCTGGGACTTAGACCCTTAAATATAAAAAAAATAAAAATAAAAAAAAAATAAAACCACGATTACTTTTGCACCAACCTAATACTCAATGAAAATAAATGTGGAGTGCTAAAGAAAAGCACAGTGTGAAAAATAGATGTAAGTGCCCAGTGTCTTTGGAATATGAAAAATAAATCTGAAAACCTAAGGCGAGTCTACTAATTTACAGAATGCCTTATGGAATGTGAATTTTGAACAGAGAAACAAAATGTCTAAAGCAGTACTTTATAAAAAATTTTAGGGCCAGGCACAGGGATCAAGCCTATATTCCTAGCACTCGAGAAGGCCAATCCAGGAAGATGGCTTCAGGTCAGGAGTTCAAGATCAGCCAGAGCAAGAGTAGAGACCCTGACTCTAACAAAAATAGAAAAAATTAGCTGGACACGGTGGCATGAGCCTATAATCCCAGCTATTCGGGAGGCTGAGGCAGGAGGATCACCTGAACTCAAGAGTTTGAGGTTGTATTGAGCTACGATGATGCTACTGCACTCTAGCCTAAGCAATGGAGCAAGACTCTGTCTCAAAAAAAAAATTTGGGGAAACAGTATATGGTACAGAATGAAGGGAAAGATAAATCAGGAGTCTACTGTAAATATTTCAGGAGAAAAAAGGCCATAACAAAACTGATGACAAATACAAATAATAGAGAACACCAAAAAAGGCAGAAATAAGCCAGTAAGTGATTGTCCTAGACACACTAACTTTCAGTCAACATTGGAATGAGCAAGTCAAGGCTGCCAGCTAGTAACCAGAAATGCAGGGAAACCTGAAGGAAAGGTCGGAGCAAAAGGAAGTTGTTAGCATCAGCTTTAGTGGATTATGGAGAGAAAGGCAGGAAAGAAGACAGACTTATTGATTGGAAGCAGAGAAAAAGATGTTTACAGATACTTAAAACCATAAGACTAGGATGTTATTTAAATTTATTTAAATTTCTAAGAAAAGCCCCTATTGAGTTTCTGGGTTTACCATAACTCATAAACTAAAATATATTCACCTGGTTGTTGCGGTTTTCCTGCAGTGGAGAAGTAGCATCATCAGGAAACGAGCTTACATTTCTCCTTTTCAACATCTGGTCATCCTTCTTAGCTTTTCTCAACTCCACATTAACTTCTATTCGGCGCCGCCTCATTTCCTTGAGAAAAGAACATTTCCATTTAACCCATCACCTAAGTTGTTGCCAAGTAAGAACATTTTAAAAAAATCCCTTCAGGTTTTCATCCTTTACCCAAATACCTTCCCATTTTTAAAAACATCACAGGGAAGCAACAAAAGGTACTCACTGTACTGTCTTTTCCCTTGTTCTTGAATCTGTTAAGTCGGGCAGCTGGTGAATTAGCATTCTCGTTGGTGGACATGGTTTGAGACAAAAGGAGAAAGCTAGAAAATGAGAGAAGAGAAAACAATTTCTTCTGTATAATTTTGCTTTGTCAATAAAGAGCAACAAATAAGAACAGAATTATCAAGCATATATTGAATCCACATCTATATACTAGAGGAGGACTGTCATGTTTTCAGCACTATGAAATAGTTTTAATCAAAAGACAATTGTCCCCTCCCCTCAGAAGGGTTGAGACTTCCTGGAGCAGCACTGTCCATCAGAAATATAATACAAGCCATACAAATTTAAATTTCCTAGTAGCCACATATTTTTAAAAAAGCAAAAAGTGAAATTAGTTCTAATAATTTTTTAAATTAAAACACATCCAAATACTATCATTTCAACATGTAATCAATGTAAAAAATATCAAGATATTTTACACTCTTTTTTCATGTTATGTCTTTGAAATGTTACAGCATATTTCCACTTCCTACTAACCACTTTTTAAATGTTCAGTAGCCACATGTATCCACCGTTTAGGACAGTGCGTCTGTAAACTCTTATGGAGTCCATAATAGTGGACTGAAGACAAAGTAGGGGAACCGAGTTAAAGCTAAAACCCACGCCCTAGAGCAATAAATGAAAATCCTCTGGATGCTCTCCCTACTTTACTGTCTTTAAATGGCCAAAATGAGTTCGTTCGCCACACTTGAAAATTAAATACAAATTTGGTTCATCATTACATCACGGAGCCTTCCATAACATTTTTTTTTTTTTTTTGGCAACACTGAAAACGTAGTGCCGCATCTTAAGCGTCTCACATTTTCGTTTCCAGGGACTTCGAGTGCATGCACTTAGGATGCCATCAGCTGTGCGTCATTCATACTCAGATACTTAAGAACGGGTTCCCCGAAAGGTGACAAAGTCAAAGCCCTTCCTACGACTTGCTGTCTTTAATTCCATTATGCTCGTCTACGGCTCTGTGACACAGCTAACCCAGGGCCTCCGTGATAGACATACTTAATTCTCCCAACTGCCACCTCCATGTCCAGCCTCCCCCCGCCCCCGCCCCCACCCCGGGGAAGATGCAGCAACGAACGGTGGAGGGAGCCAGAGCAGCCGGGGCCTGCCCGGGACTTTCGCCCTCGGGCCTGTCTCTGATCCTCGGGGCCGCGACGCGCTAAGGCTTTCGCTGCCGTTCGCAGAAAGCCCTATTAGGGCCCTAAAGCCCCAGCCCGCGCACTGCTCAGCTAAGCCGCCTACTCAAACGAACGTCGCCCCCGAGGCCTACTCAATGAAGAAGGCCACAGCCAGGCCCGGCATTTACCCGGGGCCTTTCTCCCGCCAACAAGAAGCCCAGCCAGCCCGCGGGCCAGCCGTTACCGCTCCGGCCTGGCTGGCGACTGAGGTTGTACCTGCACAGCGAGCACAAGCTTCCACAGGAGGCGGTACGGGAACTTAAGAGGCTGTGAGTCGGCTGCCCTAGAAACGTCCACAGGAGCTGAGCCTGAAGACCGTGTGGCTCGTGCAGCCGGCCGGCGCGATTTAAATTTCCCGGTGACTCCGCATCCTGATTGGCTGGTTCGAGCCTAAGCTGTGTGCCCATTGGTGGATTTGAAAAACACGTTGGGAGGGGGTGGTAGAGCCCAGAAAAGGGGGAGAATAGCATCGCGAGATGAGGGAGTGGCCGGGAGATCCCGGAGCGTCTTGCGGGCCGGAGTGGGAGGACTCCAGAACCCGTCATGCAGCGCGAAGAGGCGGCTCCCAGCTCCGGCGGGCACGGCGTTAGGCGGCTCCGTGTTTGCTTAGAGTTAACGTGTGTAAGGTCTTGGGGTCGTTTTTCTGGGCGGCTGCCTTAAGCAAATAACACAAAATGATTCTCAAAGGCATTATCTTTATAAAAAATTTATATAAAAATGTTCATTTGTATTTTTTTTCTGATGGGGACACAGCAGGAACTTGGCAGGAGTTTCTAGCCACTACGGGAGGGAAGAAGGGTAAAGTGGATTTACCGCATGTCACATTTTTTAGTTTCGCTTTTCTTTTTTTTTAAATTGTGTCATAAAAGACTATAGAAGCCACAAATATAGTAACAAAAGATTTATTATGCCTCTTCCTCCAGACACTCCTCTAAACTTTTTATTTTTAAATAATCTCAAATACAGAAAAATTGCAAATCTTTACTCAGATTTGCCAAATGTTAACATTTGCCACATGTGCTATTTCTCTGTATGTACATATGCGTATACATATATATGTATACATATATGTGGTTTTTATGTTACTTTTTGAACCATTTGCGAGTAAGTTTCAGAATCATGTCCCTTTACTCCTAAATATTTCAGGGTGTGTATCCTAAGAAAAAAAGACATTCTCTTATATAACCACACAGTAATCATCAAATTCAGAAAAATTGAACTTTTATGCTATTATTTAATACATAGTCCGTGTACAAGTTTTGTCAATTGTTCCAGTAGCATTCTATGCTGTATTTCATAGATTTCTGAATAAAAGCTTGCATTTTTTGCCATATGCTTAAAAAAAAAAAAAGATGGTTAGTAGAGCATCAGGATTATGAGTCGTTTTGTTTCTTTCTGCAATTTTTCTGTGTTCCAAAAGAGTATATTTTAGAAAAGTTGTATTGGTTTATTTTTTTGCTGTAGATAAATTCAACATTGAACTTTGTCCATTCCTGCAGGATTAATGTGAGCCTCACTCATTGTGTAGCCATCAAGGACTTCCTGGGGTGGGGTGGAGGGGTGCACCCACTCTTAATCAGCATAATCCCAACCTCCTAAATGTAAGAATGTGGAAGGAATTCGCCTCCAAACCAATCACTGCGGGGTGCTCTCTTAGCTACTATGAATGGTTCAGAGGCAGACACATGACCTAAATTCAACCAGTGGGAGAGCTACCCTAGGCCTTTTGTTTAATGGTTAGAGGTAAGAAAGCGGGCTCTGTTCTTCTGAAAGGGATGTGAATCCTAGAAATTTGAATAAGAAAATTGTAAAGAAACCTTGAGAGCTCTGATCGACAGCGACAGCGTGTTCTACCTCTGAAGGTTTTCTTATGTCATCTGATGCCTTTTCTTTGTATTGTCAAATTGGGTTTTCTTTTGCTTGAAAGTATCACTATGTGCCCAGAAGAGTCCTATGTGTTTAACATATATTGAAACATTTAATCTTCAGAACTCTGTGAGGTAGTACTTAACATTCCCAGCTGATTTCTTACCCTCAATCTACATCTGAGGCTTCCTGGGGCATCCGATGACCAGTTCATTGGTAAGACAAAGGCCAGGCCAGGAGCTCTGCATAATATGTCGACATGAGCTGAAGCAGATTGCTCCTAATTGATGGGCTCTGTGGAATGGCCCTGAAGGACAGTAGAGTAGTAAAACTCCCTAATGGGTATAACGTTGAACAGTAACTCTGGTACACTTTTTTCTGAAAGGACAGATATCCTGAGGTGAGGATTATACTTATAACTAGTGAAAACTTATTGTATGGCTAGTTGATAGAATGTATGTTAATTGTTTATGTTGCAGGTGTTCACTGTTAAAAGAGTAATTCCTGACTTTCCTGTAGGAGCCAGTGCTCGCTCAAACCATTCTACAAGGTTGTGTGAGATTGACTCCATGCCTCGGGATAGACTCTAACTGTGATAAACCAGGGAGAATAATCCTTCCCCTAGGTAACCAGGATTGGTTCCTGCAGAGCATGTAACTCAATATCGACTAATAAGACTCGGAGTCTGGGATTTATTAGACTAACAGAGGAGAGAGACACTCCTCCCTCTACAGTTGGGATTATTGATGACAAAGGTGGTTTCGGGACAGGGTACATGTATGGATTTCTTGGAACGAAGTTAGAGTGTGTGGATATTTGAGTCATATGAATGTTCATCCAAAGTCCTCCACTGTGGAATAAGCTATTAATCTTCAGGTGGCTATGATAATCCGTTCTGGGTATGATCATCCTCCTTCCCCGGCCAGGCCAGTGTTTGCTTAATGGGATCATGAACTACATGGCTGAGGTGGCAGAGATAGGAGCCACACAACTTGCAGTTCCTACTGTTGAGGCTGGTCTGGTTACCACTCGGGCTGGGTGCTCAACCAGCCTAACATTGACTTAACACCATGCAGGGGCCATTCAATTACCTGGGATCAGGGCACTAACATTGAACCGTTTCCATGAAGGATGAGGCAAAAAAGACATTTTATCTGGATTAGACCATGTTTATTTCCCAATGTGTCATTCTGCTGCCACCACCATCCACTCAACTTCCTACAAGTCTTTTATACTGCCATGGTGCTATAGTTTGGATATTTGACCCTCCAAAACTCATGTTGAAATCTGACTCCCAATGTTGAAAGTAGGACCACTGGGAAGTGTTTGGGTCGAGGTGGTGGAGCTCTCATGAATGGCTTGGTGCTATCCTCAAGGTAATGAGTGAGTTTTCATTCTATTAGTTCCCACAAGAATTCCTCTGACAGCTGGTTGTTTAAAAAAACCTGGCACCTTCTCCCTCTCTCTTGGTTCTTCTCTTTCCACATGATCTGTACACACTGACTCCTGTTCCCCTTCCACCAGGAGTGAAAGCAGCCTGAAGCCCTCACCAGAAGCAGATGCTGCTACCATGCTTCTTATACAGCCTGCAGAACAATGAGCCAAATAAACCTCTTTTCCTTACAAATTGCCCAGCCTCAGGTATTCCTTTACAGCAACACAAATGGGCTAAGACACACGAATTCCTACCCAACATTGCTCCAACCAAGAAACTCACTTCCCAGGAAAATTACTGAATTGATCATCAAAACAATGAGATAAACACTACACACCTATTAGAAACAGCTAAAATCCAAAACGCTGACAACTGCAAATTGGTGTTCGTGCTGGTGACGATATGGAGCAAGAGGAACACTCCTTCATTGGTCATGAGAATGCAAAATGGGACAGCCACAAAGATAGTTTAGCAGTTTCTTACGGAGGTAATAAACATAGTCTTACCATACGATCCAGCTTGGTGATGCCTGGTATTTACCCAAATGTTAATGTTTTATCTTATGTCTACACAATAACCAGCACATAAATGTATATAACATCTTTAATTGCCAAAATTTTGAAGCAACCAATATGTCCCTCAATAGGTAAATGGATGAACAAACTGTGGTACATGTGTACAAGGGAATATTATTCAATGATAAAAAGATATGAGCTATCAAGCCATGAAAAAAACATGGAGAAAACGTAAATGCATATTGCCAAGTAAAGAAGCCAGTGTGAAAAGGCTACATATTGTATGATTTCAACTACAGCACATGACATTCTAGAAAAGGCAAAACTAAGGAGACAGTAAAAGGACTAGTTGCGAGGGGTTTCAGGGGAAGGAGAGAGGAATACACAAGTGGAACACAGTGCATTTTTTTTTTTTTTTTGAGACAGAGTCTTGCTTTGTTGCCCAGGCTAGAATGAGTGCCGTGGTGTCAGCCTAGCCCACAGCAACCTCAAACTCCTGGGCTCAAGCAATCCTTCTGCCTCAGCCTCCCAAGTAGTTGAGACTACAGGCATGTGCCACCATGCCCGGCTAATTTTTTTCTAGATATATTAGTTGGCCAATTAATTTCTTTCTATTTATAGTAGAGACAGGGTCTCACTCTTGCTCAGGCTGGTTTTGAACTCCTGACCTGGAGCAATCCGCCCTCCTCGGCCTCCCAGATTGCTAGGATTACAAGCCTAAGCCACCTCACCCCGCCACAGTGTATTTTTAAGGCAGCAAAACTATTCGGTGTGATACTGTGATGGTAGAGGAGTGACATTATACATTTGTGAAAACTCTTAGAGTGTACAACACAAAGAGTGAACTGCGAACTAAGGACTTTAGTTCATAATAATATATCAATATTAGTTTATCAATTATAACAAATGTACCACACTAATGCAAGCTGTTAATGATAAGGAAAGGCCCAGCACAGTGGCACATACCTGTAACCCTAGCACTTTCGAAGGCTAAGGCAGGAGGATCCCTTGAGGCCAGGAGTTCTAGAACAGCCTAAGCAAGAGTGAGATCCCCATTTCTACAAAAAAGAAAAAAGGGAATAGGGAAAATTGGGGAGGGAAGGTGAAGGGTATGGGGAAGCCACTGTACTTTCCAGTTACTTTTTCTGTAAACCTGAAACTGCTTTAAAAAAAAAAGTTCTATTAAGACAATATGTTGCAATGTGAAAACTGAAACCATGTCAGTAAACCTTTTATATTCTTTTACATTAAAATCCATTAGTCTTAGAACTGAGAAGTACAGGTATAAAAAGGAAGAAATAAAAATAAATAATAAATAAATAAAAAATAAAGAGAGGCCGGGTGCGGTGGCTCACGCCTGTAATCCTAGCACTCTGGGAGGCCGAGGCGGGTGGATTGCTCGAGGTCAGGAGTTCTAAACCAGCCTGAGCAAGAGTGAGACCCTGTCTCTACTATAAATAGAAAGAAATTAATTGGCCAACTAATACATACAGAAAAAATATAGCGGGCATGGTGGCGCATGCCTGTAGTCCCAGCTACTCGGAGGCTGAGGCAGGAGGATTGCTTGAGCCCAGGAGTCTGAGGTTGCTGTGAGCTAGGCTGACGCCATGGCACTCACTC